CAACCTATCGCCGCGGGAAGCACATCACCATAACCCTCCCACCCAATCCCCCGTCCGTTGTAACCTCTGCCCTCAGAACCTCTAGTGCGACATTCTCAGCCATCACTTTTAATTTAGTCTGGCGACCAGCACGTGATACTTGTTCGAAAATTCACGAGTACAACTCGATTTTCCGAAGATCTTCTTTCTTTTCCTCATATCATCTTGGAATGCAACTTACTTCACTTATTCAATACTAAATCTGTTGTTGCGGACGTTGTTTCTGCTCGACAATGTGCGTTGATGTTTGGAGGAATTTCTAAATAGCCTTATAAAAAGGTGAACTATTATAGAAAGTTGTTTTACTAACCTATACTTAATCTTTTGTTGCGGACATTCTTTCTGCTCGACAATGTGTGTTGGTGTTTGAAGGAATTTCTAAATACGGCGCCCATGGCATTAATAAATAGGATGATATACAAAAAATTCATTTCTTCGATAAATGCTTTTAATGGATATCTTTTTTAAAGGTTTTGATATGAAAATTGAACAAAAACTGCGTTTATGATATAAAGCTTGAAAACAAAACTAAATCTTCGAAAATTTACCGGAATTTAAAGGGCAATCTCTAAGTAAGTGGAATTAAATAACGGCAATAGGTCGTAAATATTTGGCCAAGAAAATGTCCTTTTGCTATAAAGAAAGTGGTAAGGTTATCTATTCAACTTACGAAAACATTTACATTTATTGTTCTAGTTTACAGCTATTTTCACGTCCTGAGAAACTTGAATGTTATTAAGAAAACTTTTTTTTTCTTAATAAACAATCAGCACTTTTCTTTTTCTTTTAGGTATCACATTTGTCTAAGGTTGTGCATTACTATTTCCAAGACGTCGTACATGCGTTAATACCGGTCTGTGAGTGGTTAGCAATCTTTTGCAAACTTCGACCTTTTGCCCGACTTCTCCGCCGTACTGTAAATAGACAGTAAGTCCAGTGTGCTATGCGGAAAGCTAACAGAGAAAGATAGCTCTTACTGGCTAAGGTGCTGTCGGCGGGACGTCTGGGCGCAGGATTAAGCAGAGTGGCCAGGATCTGGAGGCAGAGGTGCTTGATCTCACGGCAGATCCAATCAGCACATCGGGAGTCCCTCGTGGAGGACTCGGGACCAGAGAAGGGGAAGAGGCCCGGCATCACAAGACCGGTGAGGTTTGAGGGTGTCAGCGAGGGCATGAAGGCCAACTGCTTCCTCAGAATAATCACCAGAGGCTCCAACCAATCAGAATTTTGTACTGGCGCACTCAGGTTCATAAGCTCTAGAGGCCGAAAAGGGGTAGACAAATGGTTTAGTAGTCTTTTAATCATTTTTTTTATAATTCGCTCGTGCATAAAACTTTAATAAGGCTGCTGAGGACGATGAACAGAGAGAGGGAACGAAACGGTAAACGCTAACAGGAC